CATTTAATTTGAGTGTTGTAGCTAATAAGCTCTGTGTTGGTAAGCCTGGTTGTTCGGTATTAACTTTATTTAGTTGCTTTGCTCTCAACGCTTTACTATATCTTCTCGTGATTGTCTTTGTTCATTGATACTGACTGTTTTTTCAATTCGTTATATTATTAATTTAATTAGTTGAAATATATTAGTTATAAATTTTGTGACCATAATGGTGAAAACAGTGTACTTGATTGGTGATGTGTTAAGTGAATTAGTTGGAAAAAAATTACTCTCTCTGAAAGAGGTTATGTCGCTTTTATTTTATTATCTTGATACGAAAAATTTTTCAGTTAAAGAAAGTATATCAATCACTATCGACAAAGTTTTTGAAATTTGGTGTGTGGCACAAATCCCGACAAGAGAGAAAAGATCTGCTTTTTTGAAACTAACCTCAAATCACAATCGATGGAAGAATTTACAAAAAAACCGTAAAATGAAAAAGTCAAAGTCTCAACAAAAAAGGAATCCGTTTTTCAGGATGAATTAAATAAACTATTTGATGTAGCTCATTCGGATGTTTTAAATATACTGGACAAAGAAAAAAGATTATTTTATTTGGGACAAAAATCTTCCAGTCGACGTGGTTTTATTTCATATAATTCTCAACCAATTTTAGAAGATGTCGAAGACATGGATAATGATATCAGCAATGTCAATTTGTGTCTATGAGATCGATTAATATATTTGAATCGTTTGATTTGTCGTATGAGTTCATTGATGAGGATGTTACTTTGTGGCCTCAGAATCCGAATTTCTTAGAAAACTTGGAGTATTTCGGGAAACTTCAAGTTGTGAATGATGTAGCAGAACGCGGCGTGGCATTGATAGAGCAGTATAATCGATGCTTAACGAAAGATGAAGAACAGCTTCAATATTTGTTGCAAATAGTGACAGAACATAGAAAACAATATCCTAATTGCAATAAAAGTAATTTTATAAAACTGTAATATTTTCAAGTTGAAAAATTGTTGTAACAAGTTGTAAATATAGTTTTTTGTTATAAAGAATTAATTGTTCAATTAAATTTCTTAATATTTAGTAAAGAAAAAAATAAATTTGTTATAAAAGAGACCAAAAAATCATTTATAAGATATTTTTAACGTTTATATTTATATATTAGTGCATTTCGTGAGTTAAGTATTGAATTAATTAGTAAAAAAAAAAAAAAAGTTTACAGTCTCAGGTTAACGGAATTAATGTAATTTTACATAAAAAATAATAAAAATATAGCATATGATATTTTTTTTGTAGTTTTATTGGAAAATATTTGAAATTTTTTATTAGTGTTATCTTTGACCGCGGATATCTTTGAAGCCGTTAATCTGAGGAACTTTGGTCCTCAGACGTTTTTTGTAGAGTGTAAAATTTCCTACAAATATCATTTTCCAGATTGTTGTTACGATGAACCGTTCCAAAGTAATAAAAATTAAAAAATTAAAAAAAATTTTTCCCGTGTTATTTAAATGGAAAATAAAGAAATGGATACAGGCAAATCTTACTATTGATATTAAGAGCTCACATGGGCGCCAAAATTTTTATTTTTAGGTATACTATCAATTTTTAGACACCAAAAGAAAAAAAAAATTCGTCTTTTTTTGAAACACCCTAATATATAATATATATAAATATATAAAATATATGAAAAATTGATGTGGGTACTCAAATGAAAGGTCTCGATGAGTGTAATGTCGGAATGAGCTTATATCTATAAAAATGTAAATAATTCACAAGATACAAGGTCATTTCTTAATTATATGTCTAGAGATAGAGCATTTTCGAATGCAACCTAAATACTTATCATCATAAATTGACTATCGATGAGAATGATATGAAACCTTGAAAGGGCACAAATTCAAGTCAAGTCCTTTGCAATGACACTAAATTTCACTAAAAAAATCGATTTCATCATATGACTATCCAGAAGAAAAAATTGTTCTTATTATCTTAATAATATAAATTATTATTATTATTATTTAATTATTATTGTTGCTTTAACTATTATTGCCTGCCGCATGAAAATCATGTTGCTGTCACATGAAAATCATGTATCTGCCACAGGAATGTATCATGTGGTACCCACAATTTTTTTTTCCCGTGTAGGATTTAAACCTATATATCGTGGGAACCATTCCTATACTATTATGGGAATGCTTCCCATAAATTATGGAAACCATTCCTATAATAGTATAGGAATAATTTCTATAATAGTATAGGAATAATTCCTATAATAGTATAGGAATAATTCCTATAATAGTATAGGAATAATTCCTATAATAGTATAGGAATGATTCCTATAGCATTATGGGAACCATTTCCATAATATTATGGGATTAGTTCCTATAATAATATAGGAATAGTTACTATAATAGTATAGGAATTATTCCTATAGCATTATGGGAACCATTCCCATAATGGTATAGGAATAGTTCCCATAATTTTCTTTCCGTGTAGCGTTGGAATATCATAAAATTAGTTCTTATTCAATTCAAGCATGCCAAAAAAAATATTCTGGCTAAGTTTCAAAGTTCTAAAAGCTATAGATTGAAAGATATAAATTTTTCAAATTTTTAACGCCCCCGCAAAACCCTTCGGTGGTGGAATATCATAAAATTAGTTCTTAGTAAATCCAAACATGCCAAAAGAAATATTCTGACCAAGTTTTACACCTATAAGAGCTATAGTTTGAGAAAGTGAATTTTTTTTAATTAACGCCCCTGCAACCCCTCTTGCGGGTGGAATTTCGTAAAATCCATTCTTACACGGAAAAAAATTAACTGTTGCTGCAACAGGAGGCAGTCATGTTGCAGCAACAGGAAAAAATCCTGTTGCAGCAACAGGATTTTCCTGCAGCTGCAACATACTGCCTCCTGTTGCAGCAACAGGAAAAATTCCTGTTACAGCAACAGGATTTTCCTGTAGCTGCAACAAGAGGCAGCCATGTTGCAGCAACAGGATAAAGTCCTGTTGCAGCAACAGGATTACTACTGTTATTGCGACTTAATAGTAAAATATAGTTGGGTCATTCC